GTCCATAAAAATCACGCATCATTCTGGATACTGATATATGTATGTAAATGGGAAACACAATTTAAAAAAAAAACAAGAAAACAAGCAGCAAACGATGGTTAGATTCTATCTTCAGAGTAAAAATCTAAGAAGTCAACTATTACTGTCATAGAACACCTGCCCTGTCAATTGAACTAATTTGTAAAAATTAACAAATAAAAAAATAGGAAAAAACTATGGTAATCAGCTTTCAATGGCCAACATAAAATATGACATCTACACTCACCATTATAGCATCACCTGCCATGACGACAAAGGATGAAGGAGGAAACTCAACATCAAACCACTCGCCATCTTTTGCTTTTACTTCCAAACCATTAACTTGATTTTGATGTAGTATGGTCATGAAACTCTTGTCCGTATGAGCGACAAAGCCCATATTAGTCTCGTTAGTTTCTGGTCCTCTGTACTTCATCACTCGACTAAGGTAAGTGGCTGCACTAAGGTGAGGCTCATAGTACTTCTCTGTGCCATAGCTTTCAAATACCATTCTTACCACCATTTGTTCTAATTCTGCAGCTAACTTACAGTACGAGAGCAGAGTCTCACTAACAAATTTAAAAAAGAACTGAAATAAGTGAAATATGTGATGAAAAAAAACGTATACAAAAACTGCTTTCTGTGAATATTTACGGAATTATACCTGAAATCATCATTTCCATTAGGCCACATGACTTTTGTGAAACTTTGAATTCCTTCATGTGTAGTCGAATAGTCTATTCCCATGCTTTCATAGAGAGGAATAAATGAGATCTGGCCCACGTAGCCATACAAAGGCTTGCTAGACTTGTTTTGAACTTTGGTTTGGGTGGGAAGATCAAACAACTCTGCTAGTGCCAGGAAAACTGCATCATGAAGCTCCGACGAGATTTTATCATATGATGTAACAAAACAGCCATACTCTTCAAGGGCACGCGTAACTTCATTGCAGATGTCAAACCAAGAACTTGTACCAGGCTTCAAGTTTTCCTTGTTGAAGTTGATAATAGGAAGTTTGTGCTGTTTTAGCGAACCCATGAATACTAGTTTTTCACCTCCTGGTAACTTTGAAGGCTTATGAGGGACATGGAGATACAATACGACTATTCATGTTCTTATAAATTATTGATGGATGTGTGTGCTATAACAAGACAATAAAGCAGACACGGAAACCTGCAAAACAAGCTTGGGTCAGTGCAGAGGATTGGGGGCTTACGAAATCGAATATTCCATATATTTTAAGAGCACAGCTCCTACATGATAAAAATTGGACCACTTTTATGAATAACTATATACAAAAATTATTGGAAAACTCTTCCAGATCCCATCGACTCTTAGAAAGAAATGTAGTGAGATGGCACAAAATATGGACAACTATAAATATAATATGTTATCAGTAACAGGAGGAAAGTGAGAGGTATGATTTATTTTTGTACTTAGTAAAGTTGGTTCACAATCAAGGTAATCAAATATCAACCAGATATATACATCATTAATAGAAAACAAGCAATTAGTACCATTATAGAGCAAAAAATAGACGATGTCCTCATCAGTATAATTTCTAGTCGTGAGCCAAAAGGTCAACGTGATGCAGGGTGTATAGGGTTCAATCATCTTACGCTTGGCAGTTAGGGAGACATCATTATTGATGTTGTTAAGACAATAGCATCATTACCTTAAATTATCCATCACTTACCACAATGAAATATAGATTGTATCAAATGAATAAGAGTAAGCAAAGGCAATGGTCCCCTGCAATAATCAGAGATTACCATTGCTTTATATATGACTTTGTATCTTTTGTATACAAGAAGGTATGTTTTAAGCTGACTTAACCTTAAGATGGCCAACCAAATCTGCAGAGATTTTGTAAAAATGTGAGGCCATCATGGCTCTGTCTTGTTATGAAAATTATTGAGGCATTTGAGTACTATCAAAGATACATGAAAGTCTAATTAATTAGATCATCAACCTGACAGTGACTTAAACTATTTCCTGTGCCAAAAAACCAATGAATTGATACGGACAACTTGTGATGTTAGGGTCTGCTTCTATAATCATGCTTGTAAGTTTGTGTTAATATGGTATTGATCTAAACATTCTACCATGGAATGGCATACTATCTATAAGTCCAGTCATAGATTTTATTACGAGAGTATTAGAATGGGGCTTTGGAAGTGGGTAGTCCTAATTGATTACATGGGACCAGTTACATTTTAGCTGGGCTTGGACTTGATAAATGTAGGTTTATTTACGCCTGAAGTGTGTTCACATGAAGCCACAAATCTCTGCTAAAGTACCCTGCTTGCAGAAAAAGCCAGTGTTTCTTTAATTGTCATTTCTGCAATATGGAAATATCTTGGCTGATATATATGCCATTTTAAGACACTCCATCTTGTCATTAAATTGCAAACTAATCTAGAGCAAAGAAACACATTCAACTTAAAGTAAAAATCTAACCAAATATCTTTCATTTTGAATCAGGATTAAGCTTCCCAGCAAACTCTAACAGCAGGTGGTCCTTCCAGAACCAGGAGGACCTAATTCTGCAATAAAGAAGTAAGAAATGGTTTTCCAAAGTCCTAGATTTCAAGAACAAGAAACAACTCCACAAGAAGAATCCAATTAGTACTCAAGTTGAACCAACCTTCCTACCTGCAAGGCTTGATGATTCCACTGACATCACGGAGGATGGGCATGATCCGTATGTGCTCGCTGTTGCCACTAGTGTACTAACACCAAAATTTGGGAACTAAGGTAAAGTTCTTCTTCAAACATAAGCTTCAGCATCAACGTGTAGATGCTCAAATCCGACCTAAATTGATGGAATATCAATCCCTACTCTGCAAAATTGAAGCAACATGACAACCCAGAAAACTATAAAGAATTTCACATAAAGTGATAAAACTAGAACATCATAAAAAAGAAAGCATAGGTGTAGTTTTCTATGAAATTTTTCAATTTATTAATATTCGCCATGGCAGCAATTATAGTTCAAAATCTGACTGCCAGAGGCCTTAGTATCTGAAAGTATTGTCAGGGTTACACACAATTTTTCTGTTCATTGATTCTCTAGAGTGCCTCATGGCTACTACTACCAGAATTATATCATTATGGTTGATTAGCCTTACTTTTTGAATCTCACTGCTTACTATTGCCCAGCTTATCTATCAATAAATTTAAACATCAAAAACTATATAATTGTCATCGAAAATCTTTTGTGACAGTTCATTCATCAATGATCAGAACATGATGAAAAGGTCAGTGTCATTTCATCGAACATATCATGTGCCCAAAGTAAAAGAATCGAATTCTTGGCATTAAACCCAGCAGGAAACTGAAAAATTATCTGGGTTTGTCATCAATTATCTCGGCGTGTGTAGAACCTGAATGTGTGTCCAATCAACTATGACTATGATAGAGCCATGGTTGCTGGATGAAGTGGGAAAAAGAATACGGATGTTTCTTATGTCTCTCTATTTGCAATTTGTGTGAAGATTTTGGCGAAAAAAGTAAATAGTTAGTATGGCCGCTTTGAAAATAAAGAGATTTCTAGGGAGCATAAAGGTAAATATAATTAATTACTTTGTTCGGTGGTGTTTGATAAAACTGAAAGCCCAATACTAAAAATTGAATATTGAATTTTAAATGTTGAATGCTAAATTTTTTAATTCGTAAACTGTTTGATAACAACTGAAATTTAACTATTGAATTTAATCAAATTGTTTGACAAATATAAGGAACTGAAGTCTGAAAATTATTATTATTCTAATTTTGTAATTTTCTTTAATCATCTCTCCGAAACTATCTTATTCCTATCACTACCGTCACAATGGTGGTGGTAGAAATGGCGACAATGGTGGTGATGGAGGCAACAACACAATGGTGATAGTGGCGATGACAACGGTGGTACAATGGTAGTGGTGGTGATAATGATGGTGATGGTGGCGACGGTGACACAATGGTAGTAGCGATGGTGGTGGTGACAATGGTTGGTGATGGCAATGGTAGTGGTAGTGGTAGTGGTGATAGCTGTGGCGCAATGGTGGTGGTGATGGTAGCGATAATGGTGGTGGTGGTGGCATTGACATAATAGTAGTGATGGTGGTGGCAATACAATGGTGGTGATGGTGGTGNTACAAAGGCTTGCTAGACTTGTTTTGAACTTTGGTTTGGGTGGGAAGATCAAACAACTCTGCTAGTGCCAGGAAAACTGCATCATGAAGCTCCGACGAGATTTTATCATATGATGTAACAAAACAGCCATACTCTTCAAGGGCACGCGTAACTTCATTGCAGATGTCAAACCAAGAACTTGTACCAGGCTTCAAGTTTTCCTTGTTGAAGTTGATAATAGGAAGTTTGTGCTGTTTTAGCGAACCCATGAATACTAGTTTTTCACCTCCTGGTAACTTTGAAGGCTTATGAGGGACATGGAGATACAATACGACTATTCATGTTCTTATAAATTATTGATGGATGTGTGTGCTATAACAAGACAATAAAGCAGATACGGAAATCGAATATTCCATATATTTTAAGAGCACAGCTCCTACATGATAAAAATTGGACCACTTTTATGAATAATTATATACAAAAATTATTGGAAAACTCTTCCAGATCCCATCGACTCTTAGAAAGAAATGTAGTGAGATGGAACAAAATATGGACAACTATAAATATAATATGTTATCAGTAACAGGAGGAAAGTGAGAGGTATGATTTATTTTTGTACTTAGTAAAGTTGGTTCACAATCAAGGTAATAAAATATCAACCAGATATATACATCATTAATAGAAAACAAGCAATTAGTACCATTATAGAGCAAAAAATAGACGATGTCCTCATCAGTATAATTTCTAGTCGTGAGCCAAAAGGTCAACGTGATGCAGGGTGTATAGGGTTCAATCATCTTACGCTTGGCAGTTAGGGAGACATCATTATTGATGTTGTTAAGACAATAGCATCATTACCTTAAATTATCCATCACTTACCACAATGAAATATAGATTGTATCAAATGAATAAGAGTAAGCAAAGGCAATGGTCCCCTGCAATAATCAGAGATTACCATTGCTTTATATATGACTTTGTATCTTTTGTATACAAGAAGGTATGTTTTAAGCTGACTTAACCTTAAGATGGCCAACCAAATCTGCAGAGATTTTGTAAAAATGTGAGGCCATCATGGCTCTGTCTTGTTATGAAAATTATTGAGGCATTTGAGTACTATCAAAGATACATGAAAGTCTAATTAATTAGATCATCAACCTGACAGTGACTTAAACTATTTCCTGTGCCAAAAAACCAATGAATTGATACGGACAACTTGTGATGTTAGGGTCTGCTTCTATAATCATGCTTGTAAGTTTGTGTTAATATGGTATTGATCTAAACATTCTACCATGGAATGGCATACTATCTATAAGTCCAGTCATAGATTTTATTACGAGAGTATTAGAATGGGGCTTTGGAAGTGGGTAGTCCTAATTGATTACATGGGACCAGTTACATTTTAGCTGGGCTTGGACTTGATAAATGTAGGTTTATTTACGCCTGAAGTGTGTTCACATGAAGCCACAAATCTCTGCTAAAGTACCCTGCTTGCAGAAAAAGCCAGTGTTTCTTTAATTGTCATTTCTGCAATATGGAAATATCTTGGCTGATATATATGCCATTGTAAGACACTCCATCTTGTCATTAAATTGCAAACTAATCTAGAGCAAAGAAACACATTCAACTTAAAGTAAAAATCTAACCAAATATCTTTCATTTTGAATCAGGATTAAGCTTCCCAGCAAACTCTAACAGCAGGTGGTCCTTCCAGAACCAGGAGGACCTAATTCTGCAATAAAGAAGTAAGAAATGGTTTTCCAAAGTCCTAGATTTCAAGAACAAGAAACAACTCCACAAGAAGAATCCAATTAGTACTCAAGTTGAACCAACCTTCCTACCTGCAAGGCTTGATGATTCCACTGACATCACGGAGGATGGGCATGATCCGTATGTGCTCGCTGTTGCCACTAGTGTACTAACAC